CAGTGTTCAAAATGGCTCGCCCCATCGGGGGCATCTTGGCGCCCTCCAGAGCCATCTTAGAGGCATCTTTGGGGCCGTCTTGTGCTCGTGAGGCCCTCCTCGGAGCCTCCCGGGGCCGCCTTCCAGGCCTCTTGGGGCCCTCCTGGCCGCGCGGTGGTAGTCTAAATGATGGGAACCCTTGGGCAACAACGAGCGGCCGGGAATTTGACGCGCCCCCGCGAATGGTTTTCTGTTGCCGGCCGCGGCCCTCGAGCAGAGAGTATTTTCAAGATAGGATTGGAGAGACAACGCAGCAAGAACACACGACATCAGTCCAGCAGGAGACTTCACTTTCTTGCGCCTCCAATGGGGGCCAGCGGATTTGCGTTGAAGGTTTTGGGGCAAGGCGGGGCGCTCAGTATTGCATCATCATGGTATCGTTTGTCACTTGTTGTTTCCAGAGTTGCATATTCGATGCCATGTGTTTGGACGGCTTCCCAGAGCGCCGAAGTAGCGGATGGGGTGTTTGTAGTGCCATGGCCGATGATGTTTTTTTCTTCAAACCAGCTACTGCTGAATAATAGTGACGACCGCATTCTAGACACGTTTGTCTTGAGGCTGGGGGCAAGACACAGAGCGCACCCTTGCAAGAGTCACGTGCTCGTTGCCACTGCACGGTTTCGTACTTGTCGTTTTGTGTACACTGTTTGATGGCGGACTCCGTCAGCCTGAACGGTTTCCCAGAGAGTTGTTGCATCGCAGGTGTTGCTGTACGACCAAGCGTTGCCACTGATGTGTCAGTTCGAACTAAACATTGCTGAGTGCCAGGGACGGCCATAACGGTGACGTCTTCGTCTTGAGGTTGGCATCAAGGCACACCATTATTCCAAGCACATTCGAGACGAACCGAGGCACTCGTGGTCCCCAACCTGGGTAGGAGGGGGGCGGGGGATGGGGACGGATGGCACGGGAGAGTGCGCACCGCTTGGTTGGCAGTCAAGACGTTGGAACGGACGGGGAACAGTTCGGGTTCAGACGTGGCGCGTTGCCCCTGAGGTCCTTCCACGGTTGCTCCTCTAGCGCTCCTCGTGCACCCAGCCGCTTTCGAGGCCAAAGACGAGACTCGTTCCTCTGTTTTGCGTTTCTTCTGGCTTGACCGCATATGCCTTCGGTCTTGTTCCGTCTCGGAGAGACTGCCGTTGTGGCCAAGGATGACGTTTGCCATGCTAATGCAGATTGGCGGTGATGAGCGTATGACTGTCATCTTTGCTCTGAGGCCTGCAGCCCAGTGTTGTTCGCATTTGGGTTATATGGAACGCCAGTGCATGCCGTTTCCGCGACGTTCGTCGTCGCCTTTTGTTGATTCGATCTGACAACAAGAACGGGATGGTTCGTGCCGTCATGTTTAACCTGTTGTAGTTGAGTGCCGGTGACGACAATATACCATGTGTATATCTGAAGGAGCGCTGCGCCATGTCCGCTGGCCCCCAAGGCTGAGCCTTCTTGTGGCTATCTTGGAACAGCTTTGGGGCCATGGTGGGCCTCCCCGGGGCATCATCAGGCCTCTGGGGCAATCTTCTGGCCATCTTGGGCAATACTGGGCCATCTTGAGGCTTCAGGGGCCCATTTAAAGAGTGTCTTGGGGCCATGTTGGGGCCCTGTTGGCCATTCCTGCGCGATTTTGGCGGCATGTTGGGTCCTTTGGGGGCCACTTTCGGGCCATCTTGGGGTCTTTCTCTGGGGGCTGATTTGCTAACATCTTGGGGGCACCAGTCGTGGCACGGATGGACTACTGCATACACCATCGTCTTTCAGTGTTCAAAATGGCTCGCCCCATCGAGGGCATCTTGGCGCCCTCCAGAGCCATCTTAGGGGCATCTTTGGGGCCGTCTTGTGCTCGTGAGGCCCTCCTCGGAGCCTCCCGGGGCCGCCTTCCAGGCCTCTTGGGGCCCTCCTGGCCGCGCGGTGGTAGTCTAAATGATGGGAACCCTTGGGCAACAACGAGCGGCCGGGAATTTGACGCGCCCCCGCGAATGGTTTTCTGTTGCCGGCCGCGGCCCTCGAGCAGAGAGTATTTTCAAGATAGGATTGGAGAGACAACGCAGCAAGAACACACGACATCAGTCCAGCAGGAGACTTCACTTTCTTGCGCCTCCAATGGGGGCCAGCGGATTTGCGTTGAAGGTTTTGGGGCAAGGCGGGGCGCTCAGTATTGCATCATCATGGTATCGTTTGTCACTTGTTGTTTCCAGAGTTGCATATTCGATGCCATGTGTTTGGACGGCTTCCCAGAGCGCCGAAGTAGCGGATGGGGTGTTTGTAGTGCCATGGCCGATGATGTTTTTTCTTCAAACCAGCTACTGCTGAATAATAGTGACGACCGCATTCTAGACACGTTTGTCTTGAGGCTGGGGGCAAGACACAGAGCGCACCCTTGCAAGAGTCACGTGCTCGTTGCCACTGCACGGTTTCGTACTTGTCGTTTTGTGTACACTGTTTGATGGCGGACTCCGTCAGCCTGAACGGTTTCCCAGAGAGTTGTTGCATCGCAGGTGTTGCTGTACGACCAAGCGTTGCCACTGATGTGTCAGTTCGAACTAAACATTGCTGAGTGCCAGGGACGGCCATAACAGTGACGTCTTCGTCTTGAGGTTGGCATCAAGGCACACCATTATTCCAAGCACATTCGAGACGAACCGAGGCACTCGTGGCCCCCAACCTGGGTAGGAGGGGGGCGGGGGATGGGGACGGATGGCACGGGAGAGTGCGCACCGCTTGGTTGGCAGTCAAGACGTTGGAACGGACGGGGAACAGTTCGGGTTCAGACGTGGCGCGTTGCCCCTGAGGTCCTTCCACGGTTGCTCCTCTAGCGCTCCTCGTGCACCCAGCCGCTTTCGAGGCCAAAGACGAGACTCGTTCCTCTGTTTTGCGTTTCTTCTGGCTTGACCGCATATGCCTTCGGTCTTGTTCCGTCTCGGAGAGACTGCCGTTGTGGCCAAGGATGACGTTTGCCATGCTAATGCAGATTGGCGGTGATGAGCGTATGACTGTCATCTTTGCTCTGAGGCCTGCAGCCCAGTGTTGTTCGCATTTGGGTTATATGGAACGCCAGTGCATGCCGTTTCCGCGACGTTCGTCGTCGCCTTCTGTTGATTCGATCTGACAACAAGAACGGGATGGCTCGTGCCGTCATGTTTAACCTGTTGTAGTTGAGTGCCGGTGACGACACTATTCCATGTGTATATCTGAAGGAGCGCTGCGCCATGTCCGCCGGCCCCCAAGGCTGAGCCTTCTTGAGGCTATCTTGGAACAGCTTTGGGGCCATGGTGGGCCTCCCCGGGGCATCATCAGGCCTCTGGGGCAATCTTCTGGCCATCTTGGGCAATACTAGGGCCATCTTGAGGCTTCAGGGGCCCATTTAAAGAGTGTCTTGGGGCCATGTTGGAGCCCTATTGGCCATTCCTGCGCGATTTTGGCGGCATGTCGGGTCCTTTGGGGGCCACTTTCGGGCCATCTTGGGGTCTTTCTCTGGGGGCTGATTTGCTAACATCTTGGGGGCACCAGTCGTGGCACGGATGGACTACTGCATACACCATCGTCTTTCAGTGTTCAAAATGGCTCGCCCCATCGGGGGCATCTTGGCGCCCTCCAGAGCCATCTTGGAGGCATCTTTGGGGCCGTCTTGTGCTCGTGAGGCCCTCTTCGGACGTAGTAGTAGTAGTAGTAGTAGTAGTAGTAGTAGTAGTAGTAGTAGTAGTAGTAGTAGTAGTAGTAGTAGTCGTAGTAGTCGTAGTAGTCGTAGTAGTCGTAGTAGTAGTAGTAGTAGTAGTAGTAGTAGTAGTAGTAGTAGTAGTAGTAGTAGTAGTAGTAGTAGTAGTAGTAGTAGTAGTAGTAGGTCGTAGTAGTAGTAGGTCGTAGTAGTAGTAGTAGTAGTAGTAGTAGTAGTAGTAGTAGTAGTAGTAGTAGTAGTAGTAGTAGTAGTAGTAGCAGTAGTAGTAGTAGTAGTAGTAGTAGTAGTAGTAGTAGTAGTAGTAGTAGTAGTAGTAGTAGTAGTAGTAGTAGTAGTAGTAGTAGTAGTAGTAGTAGTAGTAGTAGTCGTAGTAGTAGTAGTGTAGTAGTAGTAGTAGTAGTAGTAGTAGTAGTAGTAGTAGTAGTAGTAGTAGTAGTAGTAGTAGTAGTAGTAGTGGTAGTGGTGATAGTGATAGTAATCGTTGTTGTAGTAGTCGTCGTAGTCGCAGTGGTAGTAGTAGGAGGAGGGGGCGGAGGAGGAGGAGGAGGAGGAGGAGGAGGAGGATTAGTTGGAGGAGGGGGAGGAAATGGAGGAGGAGGAGGAGGAGGAGGAGGAGGAGGAGGAGGAGGAGGATGAGGAGGAGGAGGAGGAGGAGGAGGAGGAGGAGGGAGGAGGAGGTGGAGGAGGAGGAGGAGGATGGGGGAGGAGTGCGGGCATGGTTTTTTGCCCGTCCTGCTGCCTGCTCGTCCTTGTCCATCCCGTCCCTGTCCTCCCCGTCCTTATCGTCGTCGTACGCGCCGCCGTTTTGCTTCTACTGCTCCTCCCCGTCCTCCCCCCCTGTCTTTTTGCCGCTCCTCCTCGCCCTCCCGCCTCCCGCCATCGTGCCTCCTCTTTGGTCGCCGTGGCCCTACCCGCCCTCCTCTCCCTCGTCGCCCTTCTGCCGCGTCTTCCTTGTCCTCGTCGTCCTCGTTTTCCTCGGTCCTCGTCCTCGTCGTCGTCTTCGCTCGCTCACTCGTTCGTTCGTTCGTTCCGTCGTCGTCGTCGTCGTCGTCGTCGCCGTCGCCATCGCCGTCGCCGTCGCCGTCGCCGTCGCCGTCGCCGTCGCCGTCGCCATCGCCGTCGCCCGTCGCCCGTCGCCCGTCGCCCGTCGCCCGTCGCCCGGGTCCGTCGTCCGTCGTCCTTTTTTGTCCGTCGCTGCCGCCGCCGTCGCCGTCATAGTCGTCGCCGTCGCCGCCGTAGTCGTCGCCGTCGTCGCCGCCCTCGCCGCCGCCGCTCGCCAGCCCGTCCAGAGGTGCTGCTCCGCCAGGCTGGTTGGCACGTGCTGAAGGTCGACGACGTGGACCCGTGTAGCGACGGCGGGGCGGCCACGTCTCGGCGGTTCAGGGCTTGAGGGCGAGAATCTCGAACAGCGAAGCTGCAACTCGTGATCCACTTCCTATCTCCGGGGCCCCATCCCCCTGGATGGGGCCTTGAAAGCGAGAACCTCGAACAGAGAAACTTCGAGCCATGATCCACCTCTCGGGGCTCCATCTTTTTTGAGCCGCCGAGTTTCTTCCTCTCTCTTCATCTCTCTTTCGCTGCGCCCGGTAGCCCCCGCGCGCGCGGCGCCTGGCGGCGCTCTCGCCTCCGGATGCCTCCCTGCGGCTGTCGAGGCCTCTGGCGGACTCGCTCGGGCCCCGCTGCGCGTGCGCTTCCCGCGGGAGGGGGTGCTGCCTGGGTGCCCTGTGCTCGGCGCGGCCCGTGTCGAAGCAGGCCCTCCGCCGCATTCTGGTGAGGGCCCCGGGTCGGCGACTTGGATCCGCCACGTGATGCGAAACGGAGGAGGAAGAGGAGGATGAGGAGGAAGAGAAGGAGGAGGAGGAGGAGGAGGAGGAGGAGGAGGAGGAGAGAGGAAAGGGAGGAGGAGGAAGAGGAGGAGGAGGAGGAGGAGGAGGAGGAGGAGGAGAGGAGGAGGAGGGAGGAGGAGAGGAGGAGGAGGAGGAGAGGAGGAGGAGGGGAGGGAGGAGGAGGAGGAGGAGGAGGAGGAGGGATATAAAGAGGAGGAAGAGGAGGATATAAAGAGGAGGAAGAGGAGGGAGAACTGCGCATCGCGTGGCGAAGCCCCTCTGCCTCCTGCTGTGGGCGCCCTTCCTCGCAGGGCTCGGGCCGTGCAGACGCGTGCTGGTCCTGGCCCAGGCCGGTCCTGGGCCCAGGGCCTTGGGCATCGCTCGGGCGTGTGCATTGTTTCCTCGGCGGGCGCTCTCGAGGAACTTATGCAAGCAGTGGCGAAGTGTCCTGGCTCGCCTACAGCCCTACCAAACAATGCTCCAAGAACCTCTTGTGGTTTCCACGAGATGTTCGTAGAACATTTCTGGCAGAGTCTGTCTTGTTTTATCACACCAAATTATGTTCTAAGAACATTGTTTTTGTTTTTTCGAACATGTTTTGGGTTCTAAGAACATATCGTGGTAGGACTATAGGAATGCCGGGACGGTCGGTCCCTGCTCAACTTATGTCGGGGAGGCGTAAGACTCGAGTGAGCCGGAACTCGGGTTTGCCGAAGTTTTTTGATGAGCGCGTCCTGGATTTTGACGGTCCGTGTTCGTTGGACGTTTGCAGCGGGGGTTCGCGTCAAATTTCAGATTCGGTCTCGTCATTTTCACTGATGGCCTCGTCGAGCCGACCCGAGTCCCCCGAACCCGAGTCTTATGTCTCCCCGATTGTGGTGTCATTCCTGTAGGTTCCTGTCTTTGGTCGCTCGGACGTGTGCGTTTCCTCCTCGGCGGGGGCCGTCGAGGAGCCTATGGTGTCATTTCTGCAGGTTCTGGACTGCTGGTCGCTCGGACGTGTGCGTTTTCTCCTCGGCGGGGGCCATCGAGGAGCAGACGGTGTCATGTCTGCAGGTTCCTGCCTGCTGGTCGCTCGGACGTGTGTGCATTTTCTCCTTGGCGGGGGCCATCGATGAGCAGATTCGGGCGTTGGCAGAACTGGGTTTAGTGGAACCTGGTTTAGTGATTTGTACCGGGGGCGGCCCCCCCGCCCCATTTCCACTAACTGGAACTGCCGTCACCCGAAAAACACCAGTTTCGGCAAACCTGGTTTAGTGAATCTGGCCAATTGAGGGGCCCCAGGGCCCTACCACTAAGCGGGTCCCCTTACCCGGGGTCCTGGCTATACCCGACAGGTGGTGTCGTGTCTGCAGGTTCTGGCAGGGTCCTGGCTATACCAGGGTCGTGGTGTAGCCAGGGTCCTGGCCATACCCGACAGGTGGTGTCGTGTCTGCAGGTTCTGGCCTGCTTGCCGCTCGGACGTGTGCGTTTCTCCTTCGCCGGGCCCGCCGACGGCCTGCCGGAGGCCCTCGGCGGCCTTCGCGGGCAGCCCCACTGTGCCGTCGGCCCAGGGGTGTGCAGTACACTCGAGGAGGAGGAGGAAGAGGAGGAGGAGGAGGAGGAGGAGGAGGAGGAGGAAAGAAGAGGAAGAGGAAGAGGAGGAGTTGGGAGGAGGAGGAGGAGGAGGAATGAAGAGGAGGAGGAAGAGGAAGAGGAGGAGGAGGAGGAGGGAGGCTGAGGAGGAGGACGAGGGATCGGCAGAACTGGGCAGGGCGGAGGGTAGGAGGTTGGCTGCACCTCTCCCCACCTCCTGCGCCTCCATCTCGTCCCTCGTCATCGCTGTGGTCATTGCTGCCGTCGTTGTTGCCGTCATCGTCGTCGTCGTCGTCGTCGTCGTCGTCGTCGTCGTCGTCGCAGGCTGGTGGCAAAGGGGGGGGGCCAGGTATCCAGCACTGCGACGACCGCTTTCAGTACCGCTGGAAGGATCTGCCTCCTCCTCCTCCTGCCTCTCCTCCTCTCCCTCCTCTTCCTCCGCCTCCTTCCTCTCCCCATCCTCTTACATCTCCTCCTCGTCCTCCCTCTCCTCACCCTAAGCTCTCACGTCCCTCTTTTCCTCGTCCTCTGCCCTTTCCCTCCACGGCGTAAGGTCGTTGTACCATCTCGCGTAAGAAAAACGGCATGGATAGAAATTTTGGGCGTTCCGCTTGGATTTCTTGGATCCGCGCTGCGCCCTCCCAGCGGCGCCCCCGGCGCCGCTCCTAGAAATCCGCGCGGAGCGCCACAAGGTTCTGTTTAAGTTTAAGGCGCTTTCTCTTCTTGTATGGTGCGTGTGGCTGGAGAGAGGACATCGGCAAGACCCGATCATATTCATACTACGCGGCGCGCCTAGGTCAGGAGGAGAAAATCACAGACACAATGAATCGTCGACTCCCAGGAGAGTAGGGGGAAACGTTGGAAGTGTGTGGGGGGGGGAAGGCGGAAACCCAGAATCTGTGGGAAGATATGGGAAGGGAAGTGGGGGGGACGACAGAGATGTGGGAAGATATGGGGGAAGACGAAAACCCAAAACATATAGGAGAATATGGAAAAATATGGGCTGCGCCGAAGACGGAACGAAACTCCCCCTCCTCCTCCTCCTCCTTCTCCTCCTCCCCCTCCTCCTCCTTCTCCTCCTCCCCCTCCTCTTCCTCCTCCTCCTCCTCCTCCTCCCTGTCCTCCCTCGCCTCTCTCGCTTCTCTCTCTCTTACTCTCTCTCTTTCTGGTTGTTCCATATTGCGAAGGCGTTACGGCCGGTGCCGCCGACCCTGAAAGGGACGACGACGACGACGACGACGACGACGACGACGACGACGACGACGACGACGACGACGACGACGACGACGACGACGACGACGACGACGACGACGACGACGACGTCGGGCTGTGACGAAAATAGGACGAAGGGTTGTTCCATACTTACTGCCTCCTTGGTCAGAGGAGGAACAGGTACCCATACCGCTATACGCTATACCACCGCTGGATTCGCCTCGTAATCTTGGCTAGAACGCACCCCGTGAGAGGTCTGGGGAGCAGCGGTATGGGTACCCTTTGATGGTCCCAGAAAGGTTGTTCCACATTTACTGCCTCCTTGGGCCCTCGCCCGGCCCCGGAAGCGTCAAACAGCGGCCCGCGATGAGCAGCCGGTCGGGCCCTTTTTTGCGTGTGTTTGGAGAGGTGGCATCGTCAACGCCCAATCATATTCATACTATGCGTGTGTGTGTGTGTGTGTGTGTGTGTGTGTGTGTCGATGGGTTCCTGTTCAAGGCGTTCCTTTGCATGCCTTTCGCTTTCGTCACCGCTTGATCCTGGGGCTTTGCCCTCTCTTGGAATTGACGTGAGGCCCCTCCTTCTTTTCCTTCCTCTGCTAATTAAAGCTGTGCGCGGCCCGCTTAGCTTCTATCGGAAGAGGCTCGCTCTCGCCCCGCGGATCAAAAAGTGTGTGTGTGTGTGTGTCTGTCTGTGTGTCTGTCTGTGTCTGTCTGTCTGTCTGTCTGTTTGTCGGTCGGCCCCCCCATGGAGCGGGGCGCGCGCTCCGAAGTCTTGGGGCGCGTGATCCGTGGCGGGGACTCTCTGGCCATGCCGGCTGGGAGATGACGTGCTATGACTATGAGATTCAGGGGGACAAAACACGCACAGACACGATGAATCGTCGATTCCCCTGGAAAAAAGTATATGGGAAGTGGTGGGGGGGAAAACGAAAGCCCAGAAAATCTGGGAAAGTGTGTTGAATCCTGTTATTTGTGTCTATTAGTTCTCTTGCACATGGTGTCTAGAGCTCCGACCACTTTATTCCGCGTCGCATCCCCCCCCCGCGTCCCCAGCGCCAGAGTGGTACCCCCGCGCCGTGGCTCTCTGCCCCGAGCCCCCCCGCATCCCCAGCGCCCCAGCGGGAGCCCCGCCAACTGCTCCCTCCGCCACGAACGCTTTATTCCGCGTCGCATCCCCCCCCCGCGTCCCCAGCGCCAGAGTGGGACCCCCGCGCCGTGGCTCTCTGCCCCGAGCCCCCCCGCGTCCCCAGCGCCCCAGCGGGAGCCCCGCCCACTGCCCCCTCCGCCACGAACGCTTTATTCCGCGTCGCACCACCCCCCCGCGTCCCCAGCGCCAGAGTGGGACCCCCGCGCCGTGGCTCTCTGCCCCGAGCCCCCCCGCGTCCCCAGCGCCCCAGCGGGAGCCCCGCCCACTGCCCCCTCCGCCACGAACGCTTTATTCCGC